CGCACCAATGGGAGGTGCAGCCCAGAGGGGGTGAGCCACCGTCGTCACCACCGCTATTGCCGAGGTAATAATAATCTGGAGAATTTCTGGGCTGGCCTTGTATCCCATTGAAAGTCGTGTCAGCTCCACCAGCGTGCCGTCCTCCACGCGGCATCGAAAGAGATGCCGAGTCTCCCGCGGCAAAGAGACTATGAAGGACGACTTTACATCCAGGCAGGAAGCGGCCTCAGCCATCACAGGCGGCAAATAATGGGAAATGAGCAAAAGAGGTGCATTAGCCTCGTAAGGGTCGTCGCTGTTCTTGTCGCGTGGCCACGCAATCCGTCGTCGTCGTAAACCGGTGGTTTTCTCCTCCACAACCGAAAAGGGGCATTATCCATCCGCCTGTTACTGTGGACGAAGCGTCCTCGATAATTCCTGCTTTTCGTAACACTCTCGCGTCAGCGGTTTGAATCCTCCGTGAGCCTTCGCGCGCTTTACCGGAGGAAGACGGAGGGAAAAGGGACCGCCCGACGAGTCCCCAAACTTGCATGAGCCTCTCCAAGGTCGCCGGGTTCAACCGACTTTTGATCTATTCTAGATTCAATACGGGCATGTTGACTCGCTGTAACGGGATGGTTCGTTCATCTTGTGGAGTGGCCAGACGCGTCCTTGTCGCGCGTCTCGCTATTGTAGCGGCATGATTGTGATAAAATCATGGAGAAAACGCTCCTCCGCTCTCAACCAGGGTTCTTGCCCTTCCGCCGTTTCTCCCTTCACATCAATGCGACCAGCGACGACACCTGGGTCAGCAGTGTGGTGTACCTCCCCAAATATCGCACTGTGTTCTGGGGAAGGTCGAACGGGTCGACGTGCTTCGCCAACCGCGAGATCACGTGTGGATTCAAATTGTGTGTCTCCACGATTTGAGCCGCGTGTCTCAACGCACCGCGTTCTATGGAATGCGCCGTGGCATCCCAAGGAGCCAAAGCTCGTTCGACTTGGGCATTAGTAATATTCGTGAGCTTTTCGTTTTCTTGAAGTGCCCTGCATAACTTTATAGTGTCGAAGGCGTCCTGCCCTCGCCGTCTTCGGCGCCACGGACCAATCAGAAATTACGGTCCCGTCCGGCTCCACTGTGGAATTTTTTGGGTGTCAAGGACGCAATCTCGGAACAACGGCTTGTCGTTATCCACGCATTTCAAAAAACAACACGTTGCTTCCAATCGACTCGGCCGCGGATAAATTCATCCCTCTCTTCCTCTGTCAAGGGGCGCGCCTGCTTCGTCTCGGATCGCGCCGCAATTCTTCGTGACCCCAGAATCACCATGTCCAGCGGGGTTGAATTTATCTCCACTATGGACCGCAGCATCCTGGAGTGCTGCTGTCGGGTCGATGGCGCCACATCTAATATTGCCACCAAAAAGGCCGCGCAGCTCTCCGCGTTCATCGGCTGTTCGTGCGTGCAGCAAAGCACAAAAAGTTGAAAATTGCCCCGCTAGTGACATTCTCTGCTCCTTCCTTGGCAGCGCACACATTTCTCTAAGCCTACTCGTTCGCGCTCCCCATATGGCCGGCTCAAAGCGGAGATGTCGGTGATTCTTCGTACCACAGTCGAGCGTCGTTGGCGGATAAGCTCCATTGCCATTGTCGACGATTGCGTCGGACAATTTGAGAGATCGGGCGGAGCATCGGCGGTGCGGTGCGACGCCATACAGGAAGGGATGGGGCTGCTTTCTTCCGCCTTCATAAGCGGCCGGCAGCCCCTCGCCGTTTTTTGGCGGCCGTCCGTGCTGCAAGTCATTTCTTCTGGCTGCGCTGCGCACGTTGCATGCAGATGCGTCGTGTCCACAAATACGACACAATCGGCATCGCAACAGTCGTTTTAGTTGTTGTTGGGTAGCTCGCCGTTACACGAGAGGCTG